TAAGGGGGGGGGGGTTGGTCAATTGTTTTAACCCTCAATTCGTGGCGGTTAGTTTAGTTTCTTACACAAGGTTGGTGGCGTTTTACAAACTTGACCAACCCTCCCTAGGAGCTCCGAAAGGAGCGCCCTGCTCTAGTATTCTTAAAATTTGGAGAAAATGCGAACGAAGTTTGTGATTGGCTTCTGTTCGGCTTTGACCGACGACCAACCACACTTTGTATGAAGCTCGTGTATGTGGGTGGTAAAGTTAGAGCCCCTGTCCACATATATATGTTGACTAACACAGCGACTATCAGCTTTTGAGAAAGAACTCTGCTCGAAGGAGTTTGTTAGTTAGCGAACTGCGTCTTACCTGCGTTCATACATAGGCGCCACCTCGCGCCACGTCTTCGTAACAGCGTTGAAGCAGTGACATGAGCTTAAGACTTTCTCGCCTTCGTAACCACCGATGACGTAAATGTTGAAACCTATTACCGCCGTGCGATGGCAAGTTCGTGGACCGATCGAATCGACCTGCTCCAACTGCAAGAACGACAGGTCATGGTTTTATGTTTCTTCGTGTCACAAGGTCTACTAATGTGAAGTCCTTACATTAGAGTCCAAGCAACCACCGGAGCAGAGGTACAAACCCCAACAGCGGACCCAAATTGCTACACCGTGAACGGTGACCGGGCCTACCGCGCTCGACAAAGACCGTGAGAAATGAACTTGGAGTAATGGTCGAATTATGGGAGGCGGAGGAAAGAGGAAGACACGAAGAGAAACTTCAAAATGATCAGAGTTCTCTTCAAGTCTACGAGTTACTGAAGGTCACTTTATTCTCTCGATCTCTGCTAACAGGGAAATGTAAAATTTCTGATCAACAGCTCAGACTTCAGGTTCGTACGGTGGTGAAGACAGATGTTGGTGTTTTGGGTTTTATCGACGCAAAGCTGGAGGCAGTACGTCCCTCACTCCAAACCAAAAAGTGTGCCATAAAATTCACGCGGCGTTACCACCCAGAAAGCGAACATCAACAGTGATCAGTACTTCATTTATTACGTTGAAATCCACACTGATCATCAATGATGATTTCGTTTCGTGTTCAAAATCAACAAACAGGTTGCCATGACAGTTGATGTAGGACGCTAATTTTACATTGTATTTAAGGCAAACTTCACACTTTTCGTTGATTCCTATTAGAACTTACATTTTACATAAGACACGACATGTAATCTATTCATTTATTCTTTTTAATTAATTTAATTGAAGCTTCTCTTAAAAAAAGTGTTCACTGCCATGGAAATAAATGAACACGAAAAAGAGGCAAAAAGGTACCTGTGAGTAAACTTAAATATGCAATTAGTTGGTAGAAAAGCTAGTTCTTTCTTGGAGGCGTCATTTAACAAAGAGCTGTAAGAGTAGAAATGTGTACAACTCACCACACTCCATCGGCCTGCTCGTATGTCATAAGTTTCAATCAAATCCGTCGGCCTTCCGTCATGAAACCCACCAATAACAAACAGAATGTCCTGTGGGATTCGCGGATGGGCAATCCTTGGTGTCACGAATTCCTTGTCTTCCTCCGTCATCATTTGCAAGTCGCGTAGGAACGCGCTCGTCTCCAAAATCACGGGTCTGCACGCCTCATTTTCCGTCACGTACGGGTGCTTTGATACCTGTTGAACAGTTCAATGTGGACCTTATAAACATTTAGGAAGGAATGATATGTATCATAGCATGTTCCATTGCAACGGAGACAAGAAATTCACGCAAAATTTATTTGGAAACTCACTGAAATAGACTAAGGTATATATATGAGACATGTTTTTTGGTTTATGTAACGACGCTCATAACAAATGCACAGGTTGTGGAGAGAATCGAAATCAAGGTTAAATCGATCTTACAGAAAACTATTGAAATGTGTTTCAACCGAAAGTTAAATACTTCAGTAA